TCCCGAACGTCTTTGGGAGAGGAACAAAAGGTTGAGGGTGTTATTAGCCATTAAAAAGGCATTTCTTTTGTTAAGGGTTAACCCAATGACAAGTCACTGTGCCAGTGAGCAGTTTGACTTCCAAAAAGAGCAAAGAAGACAGGAGCAAAGCATTATGGGAGCACGGATAGAGGAGCGTACGCGGACTCGGGAAGCCTTCACCGAGGCGATGGCGTTTGAACTGTGTCTAAGGATAGTTTCTCAGGAAAAGAAAAGAAAAAGCTCATCCACCATAGGAAGACAAAAAGAGCCAAGTTCTAGAAAGCTCTCTTCTAAGTGGGAAGGAGAATTCAGTGCTCTAGAAACAGAATGCCCCCTCATGGTGCAGAATCATATTCTAAAAGACCTTCTTTGTTAAAATAAGGACATTAAACTTGATTCTCAGAGTGATAAGGAGAGAGCAGCTGAGTTAAACAAGTTTTTATTTTTCGGAAGACGACAGGCAGCCTTGTGAGCAAAGTCCTTCATCTTTCACTTAGAGTGTAAGGGAAAGCTAATAACAGACTGGAGCTGGGTGGGAAGACAGCGTTTTCCTGCTTAATTCCAAAGTCACTCTGGGGTAGCAACTGCTGGAATGAGACTGTGGGACCGAGAAATACAAGTGACATGGCCATGCGGCTGCTCCACCAGAGGGTGAACACACCGCCTCGTTCATAAGACCCTTGATTTCGTCATTTATTCAACACACACGCAACATGTGTTACATTACTGTTCTCTCTGTGGGTAGTAGTACTTGCAGTGATACAGCAACTGGGGGGGACGAGTGTATGAAGCAACCAGTAACATCATGTGCTCATAGAGCCCAAGACAGCAGCAAAGAACAGGCAGGAAGTAAAGAAAGTGTCAAAGAAAACAAGAAAAGAGAGAGTAATTCCGGAGAGAGAAAAAGCGAAAATGAGGTTTAAACTTAAGAAAGCAAGCATCTGCTGTAAGTAACCATTTCATTAAAAGTGCACTAAATTGTGGAGTTTCTCTCTCAGGAACTGCATACTGTGAGCTGAGATTAAGTATAATGGGCTCCCACATGAATTCTTCTCATTACTTCTCTTGAAAGATCAGTAAATCTACTGAAAGGGTAATTTAGGTTTAGTGTTCACGATCCAATCATTTTACTTTTAGTCTTCCCTGTTTAGAATTTTTAAACTATGATGCAGATACAATCCAGAAAAGAAGAGATAGGCTCAAAAAGAGATGATTTCATGTTTTGGGATATTCTTGGTCCCCAGTAGTATACAGTAGATGGTAGCTGTAGTTCCCCTTCCCCTCCCCTGCTTTGATAGATGGTAGGAGAGCGTTGGCCAGCTTCTAGGGCAATGCACACTATTAATTGCAGGAACCAAGTAAAAGACAGCAGAAGAAAGAGAATCTATATTTCACTCTCCTGGATGCCTTGGACCTTTATGTGACTTTAATGAAGTCACTTCTTCATCCTATTAAGCTTTTCTTTCGCTGTAACTCCACAGAAAGACAAAGGTTTGGGAACTCTTGGTAAAGGATAGATGGATTATAGGTAGATGGATGGATGGATAGATAGATAGATAGATAGATAGATAGATAGATAGATAGATAGATTTTGGAGGAAAAGCCTAAAAAATATGAATGAGAACCTAAAAATGACTTAAGATCTTTTTATTCCTCGTCTTAAATTGCCATAAATTTGGTTTGTATTTTTTTAAGCACATGAGTGTTTTTTTTTGTTTGTTTGTTTGTTTTAACATTTTATTAGGGGCTCATACAACTGTTATCCCAATCCATACACACATCAATTGTGTAAAGCGCATTTGTACATCGTTTCTCAAAACATTTTCTCTCCATTTAAACCCCCGACATTAGGTCCTCATTTTTCCCCTCCCTCCCCGCTCCCCCCTCCCGCATGAGCCCTTGATAGTTTATAAATGGGTATTTTGTCATATCTTGCCCTGTCCGACGTCTCCCTTCATCCACTTTTTGGTTGTCTGTCCCCCAGGGAGGAGGTCACACACAGTTCCATGTAATTGGTTCCCTCTTTCCTACCCATTCTCCCTTTACCCTCCCTGTTTTGCCACTCACACCACTGGTCCTATAGGGCTCATCCGTCCTGGATTCCCTGTATTTTCAGTTCCTATCTGTACCAGTGTACCTCCTCTGGTCTAGCCAGTCTTGCAAGATAGAATTCGAGTCATGGTGGTGGGAGCGGGGAGGAAACCTTTAGGAACTAGAGGAAGGTTGTATTTCTCATCATTGTTACATCGCACCCTGACTGGCTCCTCTCCTCCCCGAGACTCCTCTGCAAGGGGATCTCCAGTAAGCACATGAGTGTTTTAACACACAAAAACAACCCCAAATATAATTTAAGAAGAACATTAATTAAGTCTTAAGCAGGAGACAACAAGGCAAGGACAAAGAGTCTCTGGAGAGGGAGATGATTTGCATGTGTTGTAAAAGCACCTAAGGGTTTGCGGAGACGTAAGAGGACCTGGAAGACAAAAGGAACTGTCACAAAAGCATGAACGGAAGCAGCTCAGTACATCCCAGTTACTGGTAGAACTACAGAAGCCAGGAAAGACAATGGTTGGAGAATATGTATTATGTTAGACAGAAAAACTGTTAAGATTGGTTTCAGGGCTCTCCAGCCAAAGCAGTCAGGATGCCACTGATGAGGAAGAGACTGTGACACCCCAATTTCCTTTAAGATACACCCAGGCAAGTCCCCAAGGGCAATGCCAGTGCTGCCTCTTTGAACAAGGAAGGGAAAGACAATAATCCACTCTCTAATGCACTCTGCCTGAGGCCCAAGCTATTCACACTGTCCATTAATGGTCAGAAGGAATTCGATGGAGGCTGAATTATTGTGGAGATTCAAAAATGTATTGAGGGCTTCCAATGTAAACCTTAGCCTTTTGTAAACTTGATGTTCAGAAATTTAAGCTCTAATACAAAAGTAAATAAAAAGCATGACAAACCAAAAAAGCACAGTCCTTCAGACAATGTTGTTTCTAGAAATTTTCTCTGGTTGTCTGGGGCTTTTCCTTGACTTTTCTGTTGGGCACATGAGTTCTGATAGATTCTTGATTAACTTATTGAGTACCCCCCACTAATAGAACTTCTAAGAAAGCCAGCAAGGAAAGAGAGATTTTAAACCTAAGGCGGACCCACAGTAAATAAACTGACCAAATCCTTAAATTCATTTTCACAGCATTAAAGTATGTGGATTTCCTACTGAATTGTGACTGATTTTTGTAGCTCATTTTGTCTCCCAACAATACTATTCAAGGGTTACAAATTTCTTTTTCTGGTTTGAGAAGGTGTGAGCACTGAAACAGTCTCGTGACGATATTGGATTTTATTAGAATTTAAAAATAACAACTTAGCCTCAAGAAATTAGTAGCGCAGGACATTCACTGGACAAAAATCACATTCCTTGAAATACTTGTTGTGACATTTTAATGCATCCTCAAGATGAAGCAGTTCCTTGCAAATAGCTAAACCAGACCATGTCTTAATTATTTCATGAAAGAAAACTTCATGACCCCTGGAAGTTTCTATCATGAAACTAATAGGAAGGAAAGGAAACAGAAATGAAATAGCAGAATGAAATGGTCTAAAATAGAATATATGTTTAAGAAATGAATTAAAGATACACACATCATTTGAGAGGTAAAAAACTCACAATGAACTTCCTCGTGCATGGATTACAAAAGGGGAGGTAATGGATTTGAAGGGTTTCTCTAAATCAGTCCTGCTTTCACGATTTTCATACAATCCACTGGATCACTTTAAAAATAAAGGCAAGCAAAGCAACTAAACTCTTTAAATGGCCATTTAGACATTGCCCTCTCAGAATCAATACATCACTCCTTTGAAAAAAAGGAACTCACTTTCGTCTCATCCAAAAGTGAAAGCTCTCAGATCGGAGGCACCTCTCTGACTTGCATGAAACATTCTCATGTGCTCAGGTATTGTTGGAGAATTGCGAGTTCTTGAATCTGTCATGTTGAGCTGCATGTATCCGCTCTCATTCCGGTCACTTCTTTGATTTCAAGAAACTGATGGCACGATTGGAATTATGCTATGTTATTACACACACACACACTCACACACACATATACATATACTGAATTGTAAACCCAGAACACATTCGCATAACACAGGAATTCTATCTTTCCTGATAGCGTAAATGAAAGACAAGATTAACGAATGAATGGTTTGTTCCCTCATTCTATAGTGGAGGATCACTGATCCCATGAATGATGAATCTAAGAGAGCTTCCCTGGTACTTATTGATCTCCTTAACTGCAGTTATTCTTCAACTATGTTCTAACCATCCTGCTCCTGACATGAGCTAACATGTTGAGCCTCCTTTGTGTTTTGTAGCTGCAGTGATTAACCAAGACTCAGGCGGACCCCGGTCCCGGATGGTGGTGGTTAGAGGGGGAATAAATCTTTGTTCAGTAAAGACATATGGCTTTGGGACCAGCAGTCTTTCACCTACGTTCTGTTGCCCACAGTGCATTTACAAAAGGAATCATTCAGAAAAGCCACAAGAGATGATGTGTTGATTGCTATCCGCTCACATAATTAATCCCCCACAAGGTTGCAATTCCTTTCAATACTATTCTCTTGCCATAAAAATAGGCTTGTCTGTGAATAGAAAAGCGATAATTTTTTGCTCACTGAGTAATTTTTCTATATTTCTGAAGATATGAGTTTGTGTGTGCATATTTAAATCTTTCTTGAATATTTTAGTTGATAAACGATTGTATGCAGTATTAAATGATCAAACCCTGTATTAGCAATTGTTGAAAAACATAACTTCCATGTGTTCCTTAAAATAGGGCATGTTTGATTTCTGGTTTGTTGTCATATAAATTGTAAGGCCAAAATCGAGCCCTTTAATTAAATATGCAAAGTTCCTCCCCTTAAACCACCTTGAACTAGGCAGATTTGCAACATTTTAAACTGGCACTTCATCCCTCTTTCAGCAAGCATCCTCTGCAGATTTAATGATCAGGAACATCCTTCTGATGCATGCTGGGAGATATGGCTGCAGGGTACAGACCACAGCAGACAGTGTGTCAGATGAGGCAGAACTTCTTGTTAGGGGTGAGTATGCTAATAGTGCAGTCTGAAAACATGATCACCATAAATTATCATACAAAGGAATTTAAATGCATGGACGTTGAGCATATCAGTACTGTGCACTTTACTTTCAACTTTACAATATATGTCATTTTTGCTTAACCTTTTGCCTTTGAAAAGATTACATGGAAAGCTGCTCCTTAGGAACAGACAAAACCTACAGATGCAACGTCAGGGTCCAAGAGAACTTTAGTAATAAGTGGTCATTAAATGTTGAACCAACTTAATGCCAAGTGAAAAGTGTCAACAGTTGAACCACTAAGATATTCGGACTACAGACACAGCCATCCATTTGTATGTGTATATGTGTTTTTCAAATGCAAATTGAGTGGAATCCCAGCCTCTTTTCCTCTCCACTAACTTCTAAATTCTGCTTCCCAAAACAGGAAAATTGCATGCCTAAAATGATGACATTTGTAACTGTTAAGTGACAGGGATGTGGAAATGTCAACACATCCTCTCTGTGCAGAAATCACATTTAAGTGGTTTCCAACGATGAGTTGCACCACCAACGCCTGTGACCCTGTGAAGAAGCCACATCTTCCATGGATAACCGAATGATTAGTACACCTTTTCTTTTAACACAATATTCCCCCTTCCGGTTAATCAGATTCTAGCATTCATTTTTGTTCTTCCTTTGATCTATGGATTTAAGTATAATGTACATACAGAGCAGTTCACATATTGTAAGCATACAAATGTACATCTCAGTGATAATCACAAGGCAAACACACCATGAACTACCATCCAAGGCACAACACTTCCTAGCGTTGATTCTGACGCCTAGCAACCCATGTAGGAATGGCGCTGCTGTCAATCTTTATGGGAACAGGTTGCTCACCGTTCTCAGCTTGGCCGGTGGGGTGGGGGAGGGCTGGTGGGTGTGAGCCATTGAGTTTGAAGTGCTTAGCTGGTCCAGTGCCTAGCCGACAGCACCAGCAGAAGCAACAACTAGAATCTTATCAGAATCCCAACTAGAATCCTGTCCTTTTTGATCATAGGTAATACATTTGAGTAGTGTGAGTATTGCATGAAGTCTCTACAAATAACATCTCATCACTCGCCCCAAGACCTTGTATTTTTAATTAATTAGTCTTTTATCCAGATAGGTATTCTAATTTTTGAGAATTCATCAGTGTTACTTTAAAATTTCTAAGCAGGACATGCAACACATTCGGAGTTTCGTCACCTCGTTGTTCAGGTGTGCAAATCACCAAAGGCTTATTGATTTTTGCCAGCTCATCATCCACCACTGGCCCCAGTAAAAGGTTGTTTTAAAAGATGGGTGAGATCTGGACTGAGTGGCAGCTTGTTCATATTCTGTGTGTTTGTTTCTGTTCAGAAGGCTTATTGAACTTTTCTCCAAATTGATATCAAGAATGTGGATCTCTATTTCCATTTTATAAAACGTCAGCTTTTAAAAGTGCACTTCCTCTCTTCATATTCCATTTAGCTAGCAAAAGAAAATTCCTTTGCACCTCCTGACGTTACAAGGCTCATAGAACTGCAAATCCCATACTGCCTCCAAATTTACAGGAAATTGCTTTCTTCACTTGCTGTGGCCTGTTTTAGATTATGTGTATTTATTGTGTAGCACTTGCCTAGTAATTTAGAATGATGCTCCTAAAATTGGAGCTTTCCAAATGAATAACACAATTTAGAAGCTGATAACAAGACGCGAGGTAGTTTTACAGGGCTGTAAGGGGCAAATTTAAGTGACAAACTAACATTCTGCTTTGTAAGTAAAATTAAACCCAACAGGGTTTAAAACATAATTCAGGTTCAGCTTTTTCATGTTCTGCTCTTTTAGCCTTTGGCTTTATGCCTAGGAGATGATAGAATGCATAAATTTAGGGAATATACTCCACAGCAATTTCAAACAGGTTGCTATTGTCTGAATATTCATGTAACATTCAGCCCCAGCTTTTGCTTGAAGTAAGTTTGATCACATTGCCAATTTTCCATTATATATTTGCATTGCTTTTCTACAATTAGCAAAAATAGCGTGTCTCTTCTGCCTGGTTGGTCTTAGACTGATTAAAAACTGAACAAAGGATTCTAGTTCTTCCTCTTTCTTATGTTTTTATTTTTATGTAGTTGAAACATGAATTCTAGAAGATTCACATTCTTAAAGTTGACTTTCAAAATGATATGGAAGATAGTTTTACTCCACTAGCCTCCTCTCTCCCACTCCTCCACTTTGTGAGTTTGTAAACGCAGGACATGTTAGGATAGCACAAGCGGCAGGACTCAATCCGAATATTCTAGACGACCTTTTTCTAACGAAGGCCGCAATTCTAGTAAGTAGAATCTGTAAAGCAATATCCAAATTCATGATTTGAATAGCAAGGATGTTTCACCAGGCATCTTCTTCTAGTATACCATCATTTGATTGTCTAAGCAATTCACTTTGCTCCGAGGTGCGCATGAGGATGTACATGTTCTATGTCTTCCTATTTGATTTCAGTGGCAAATCTATTTTCTCTGACATAAAGGGAAGCTGCATTTTAATTGTCTTCTGTCCCATTAACCAGAGCCTTGTGGCATAATGGCTACATGTTGGGTTGCTAACCACAAGGTCAAACCCACCAACTGCTTCTTCGGAGAAAAAGGAGACCCTCTACTCCCATAGCTATTCATAGTCTCGGAAACCCCTAGGCTTGCTCCGAGTCAGAATCAACTCAATGGCAGTGCTCTTTTGTTTGGTTGGTTGGCTGGTTGGTGGGTTTCCTGTTAATAGTAGCTTATAAGATCATTTTGTGCATCTGACCAAACCCTCCATCTCATCCTCTAGCCTCCTAAGCACCTTAAACGGAAGCTCAGGTTTGGGGCCTCATCACTTCACTCTTACAGGTTTAGAATCCGAGTGTTCCTGACTGAAGATACTGCCTAGCTCTGTTCCCATTCACAATTTTAAGGACTATCTATCCTTCACCCAAATGCTTATTTCCACTGCAACTTTATTTTGCCTGTGAATGCCAGTGCTATTATTCACCTCTCTGCCACCATTATCATCCTCCTCCTAAAATTGAGTTTTTCCATAAATAATCATCTGAAGCATAAAATCGCTTGCTCTCACATATTTAATATTCAGTGAACCAGCATTATAATAGCACCATGCATAATTTGGAGAACTACAATAGAAGTAATGAATATGTTAGAAGGAATTATTTTGCTGGAATATAAAAGAAAATTAAAGCCACACCTGGACATCTGTGCAAAATGTTAGTCAGTTATTCAAGGGTGACATAGCAATCAAACGGAAACTTAGGTTAGGCAATGCTGTAAAAAAGATCTCTTTAAAGACAGGGCAAAATCATGCTATGCTAGAAAAGAGAGAGATCATTAGGAGGTAACCTCGCTATATTTGAAGTTCTGATGCTACCAGGAAAAATGAGAAGTGATCACACACATTATAAAAAAAATCAAGAAAGACATTTTTATTGTCTTGTATAATAATTAATGTCAGTAATACATTTGTCATAGCAAATTTCTGGATTGGAAACTGTTAAGATGTTAAAAAGAAAATGTGCTTAGCTAAAAGGAGACTAACTAGGGGCCAAAGCATGAGTTCCATCTATTCCATCCAGATGCAGAAGGAGCCATTGAAAATTCACTTTGGCATACAACTTCTTTACTCTTATTGCTCTGCTTCTTAATGTTAGGTCAAGAAACTTGTGGAAAACTCCAAGAAGAATCAGTCCTTTCTAGGTTCCTCTAAACTTCACAGCATATCTGCTGGGCCCTTCTTTCCCTAAACTTGGAAAGAATTTTTATTTTCTGAGTTACCACTTGATGGTTAATCTAATGTGTATGAAATTGAATTTGAGAAGAATGAATTAACTGCGGGATGTGACTCATTAAAAGACATCTAACTCCTTTTAACTATTTACTCCAAGCTCCCACCCTTCCATTGTATTTCTAGCACAAACTTCAACTTATCTTTCAATCTTACTTCCCTTAACTTTTCTAACTAATTCAGTTCATTTGGACATTCCAAGATCTATTCCTTTTATTACTACTAATGTTGTACTTTTAGTCTCGCCTAACTCACGTTGACAGGTCTCTGATGGCTAGTGGTTACGTATTGGGCTGTATTGGGCTGCTCGCCACAAGGTCAGCAGTTGACATCACCAGCCCTTCCAAGGGAGAAAGGTGGGGCTTTTCACTCCTGTAAACAGTTACAGTCTGAATCTCCAGGAGCAGTTCTGTCCTGTCTTAGAGAGTCACCAGGAGTCATAAATTATTCTAGACAGTGAGTTTGTATTTTTTTAACCCACTTTGACACACTTCCTGGCAAAACTAAAATGGTTAAAAGCTAGCTTTATCAATGAAACAAATCAGTAAGAATTTGTTGATAATTTATATTTATTTGTTTTCTGAGCCATTCATTCAGCAGTTTGCTCAGCACTTAGAACAGAAAGATGAAGAAGCTAAAGTCTGAGCCCTATGAGAGTCCTACGGGCACTAGTGTGAGAACTACCTTTGGAAATGGGAGACATACCAAACCAGAAAGTTCACCTGAGAAACTTTCACTCTTGTTGGGGAAATGGGGAAAGACTAGCAGGAAACAAACATACAGCTACAGCTCTGGCTGCTTGTTCAAAACTTATTAAAAATGCTCACTCTAGGAAAGAACTAGGAGGCAAAGGGCAGTTATAGAGATCTAAATACAAGCATATACAGATGTAAATATATTTATGTATGCCGAGGGGGAAACAGATCTATGTACATATATATAGGCTTAGTATTAAGGAAACAAATGGACAGTGGGCCCCCTACTCAAGTACTCCCTCAACACGAGAATACTTTGTTCTAACAATTCGACAGTCTGAGATGCTCACCTTCCTGGCACAATCGCTGAAGACAATGGGTGCACAAGCAAATGTGAAGAAAGCTGATGGTGCCCGGCCTTCAAAAGATATAGTATCTGAGGTCTTAAAAGCCTGAAGATAAACAACCAG